GGAATGGGACGGAAAAGGGAGCTGGCTGATCACAGAAGCTGCAAAATCTCAGGTCATTCAGGGTGGAGCTGGATTTGAGACCTTGCAGTGTAGATGGTGAAAGGGTTTGAGCTGAAGCAGCTTAAGGGCAGATTTATCTGTTGGTGAGGACCTGCTGGGGCATTACACACCCAGTGAGTGGGATTGCTCAGCTTTAGTCCATCTTACCAAGCATTAGGGAGGTCAGATCAGTTGTAGGTAAAGTAGTTTAGCCTATGTCCTGTCAAATAGAGGAGAAGTTAACATAGCCCATGTGGCATTTTCAGAAGGTTATTGTGAGTTCTTGTGTGTTTCTTTCATTTCAAATTAAGTTCACAGAAAATTGGTGGCATCTTTTGGTCTCCATTTGCAGCTGAGGCTCAGGAAAACGAATATTGTCCACAGAGTGATGGGATGAAACTGGGGTTGATTTTTGATACTCTTAACTTAATGGTAAAATCTTAAAATTACCTTAGAAAGCATTCATAGTGTAGTAAAAATGTAATTCCTCTAGTCAAAGCACGATTGTGATGGAAGACAGTATAAAAGCAATACATGGAAAAGGTCAAAGTTATAATGACAAACATGTCTTATTTTTAGGATTCTGTGCAAAGTATTGGGAGATTTTTAATTTTTTTTTTTAACTTAGGAAACCTTGTGCTCTAATTGGTATCAGTGCAGTGAATTCCAGTTCTTCGAGGGACCAGATATGATGAAAGGGTATCAGGAAACTTGGATTTGTATCAGAGATTAGCTGTGGTTGTATTCATGGAAGATAAGTGCATTGCAGTCTTCAGCAAACCAGCTGGATGCCTAGTGGCATTTTAAAACAAAGAACTCTAATTCCATTGATGGTCATAACAGTGGTGCCATTGGTTTCAGTAGGAACAGAAGGTTCTTACTTCTGATATTACAGATGGGATCTTTTCATTATGCATAAGAATATTTTAAGATTTTTTTATTTGCTTCTCTCCATCTCTTTTTTAATTGTTCTGTAATTATTTTAAAAGGCCATCTTTGTATTTGCAGTAAATGCTCTAGGTTGTCACGTTACATTTGGAAGTTCTGACATTTTGTGCTTAATGCAAAGGAAAATCTCAGCAATAGGAAAAGCTGAATAAGGTTTTCTTCATCAGTGCAGCAGTTGCCAGCTAATAGCAATATACTAAACCCTTATTTTCTTGTGCAAACATAATTAGGAAGGTTTGCTTGGGTAGAAATTATTTTGATGCTCAAAAGGTTATAATATTTTTAATGAAAAAAATGGGTTTATTCCATTCTTTTGTTACCTGATGGCTAATCTATACCCATGTTTGGTTCAGTATATCCTTGCCTTATTTTCTTGTGCAAACATAATTAGGAAGGTTTGCTTGGGTAGAAATTATTTTGATGCTCAAAAGGTTATAATCTTTTGAATGAAAAAAATGTGTTTATTCCATTCTTTTGTTACCTGATGGCTAATCTATACCCATGTTTGGTTCAGTACATCCTTTTTTCCCCCTTTTTTCCCCTTCTTTTTCCCTAAATTTTAATCCAATTGTAGTGCCTGAATGGGAAATAAAGAATTTGGCTAAGCTTTTGGCATTACCAGCAACCTGACTGAGAGCAGAGCAGTGTGTATACACATAGCAGCAGTCACCTTTCCCACATGCTGGATGGCTGGAAATTCCAGACAAATGGCCTTGAGATACTTGCAGGTGTTTGTTTTGTGACATGTTCAGTGTGTTCATGGTGAATTCAGTTAACATGGATTTATTGGAGCCACAAAGATCAGCTGCAATAGTGACATTTTTAGTAGGTCTAATGCATCCCAACTTCCCCTGTGCACCTGGTTCAGCAGGCTACAAATAGCTGAGTGCTGGGATGATTTGGCTTTTGGAGCAGTGGGTGTGCATTACACAAATCAAAAAGAGTTATTGCAGCTTGCCTTTTGAGCCAGGGTGGTGTCCTGCAGCCACTCTCAGCTGGGAGTTTGGGAGAGCCTGGAAAAGGCTGTGCTGGGACCCACGGGTGTCTTTATTGTGAAAACACTTACTGGAATACTGGAACTGTGATCTGCAATGGGAAATGATATTGGTCCTGTTCTTGATTCAGAAAATTGTGGGAAGAGTTTGTGGCCACTCTGTCAGGATAAAAATATAAATTAACTTGTGTTGATTGGGATGTAACACACACTGGTGTTCAGGCATGTTCTTACAGAGGTGATATCACAGTGATGCTCCTTTGCTTTGATTTGTGAAACAGCTGTAGGAGAGAGATGCAGTCACATGGGAGTGAGGTCTGAGAGGTTTGGAAAGTGCAACTTCTCTGGTGAAGCCTTTGCTTTTGTAGTCATCGCTCTAAAGTAGTGCAGAATGTGCCTGAAATGGTTTCTGATGGCAGACATGGAGCTTACATCCTTATTTCTTCTTTTTTAAAAAGTCATTTCCCTTCCATACACAGAACTGGTGACATGAGGCACATTCAGAAATGCCCCCCCCTTCCCTGGTGTGACAGCATTTCTGGGCATTATGCTGCACAGCCCCACACCCTGATTCCCAGGTTCCTGATTTACTTGTCCTGTAAAATTCTACCTGGTGACAAAGCCCACTTTAGCTTATCCATTGTTTATGGCACCTGGGTTAGACAGAATCCACTGCTCTGGCATCTGCTCCACTGGGGAGATGAACAAGGTCCATAATATGTGAAGCAGAAAATTTTACTGATGCCTTATGTAGCTGAATTATATACAGATGAAAAGTTGAAGAGAAAAGAGAAGATTTTGTGTGGCTGCTGAATTTTTTTGTTTTGTTTGAGTACCACCTTAGTGGCTTGTGGCTGGGAGGTCCAGCAGTCACCCTTCTTTGGCTGCTGGCTTGAAACTGATTATCTGGGACTGTATTGGTCCATGTCTGGCTGTTTTAGTAGTTCCCTAAAGTTCATTCATCCAGTCCTGAATAGGAATGTGTGGCAGGAGCTCTCAAAAATTCAGAATAGACTGATGGCCTTCCAGCTGCCATTAACTGATCTTTCTAATTAAATAATAATGAGCTTGCTGCTCTCCAGATCTATCAGAAAGTCAGATTCAGCTGAACACACAATCACTGAAATATCCACACTGCATCAGCAAAGTTTTTATAAATGTTGTGGACTTTGCTTTTAGTCTGCATTCTTTGACACTTAAAGGTTAAGCCTTCATTGCATTTTGTCAAAACTTACAACGTTGCTGATCATTTACTGAAAACTAGAAAGAGCTAAACAGATTAGGCATTGCAGGAAACCACAGAAAATAAACTCCTGCATCTGTTTAGATGAAAAGAAGGATTAATTTAAATTAAGTCTGCTAAACAGCAATTGGAGATAATGTGATAATGGACGTGATTTCATTATTAATACAATATATTCTGATCTCATAAGTTTACTAATTCTGTAATGGTTTGGGAATCTGCCTGGAAGTGCGAGCCTTCTCTGTTTTCCCTTCAACTTCTGACCTTAGAAATGTACAAGGTGTTCTTTGGCAATTGCTTAGGTTAGGACTAAAGTCAGAAATCTTAATGTGTGTGTTCAAATTTAGTCTATATACATTTGTTGAAATTTCCCAAACCATGTTCCAAGTTAACATTCATATCAGAAGTAAACATAAGAATTTTTATTGAAGAAGTTTGCATCATATTTAGAAAAAAGATTATTTTAAATACTGGTTTGTTTGAGGACTTATTTAATTTGGATTCTAAATAAGATTCCTTAGTTTAATTTGGTGTGTAAATTGGCAAGAATTTAAGTGTTTATTTAGTGCATACTGTTTAGCTGTGTTTTTGTCATAGCATGTAGTTTGACAGAGATAAAGATCCTTAGTAAACATGGAGATAAAGCTGGAACTTGAGCTATGTAGAACATGACTTGATTATGTTTTTTTGTTGCAGAAGCCATAATAAGTCATTCTGATTCTAAGAACTGTTCCAAATGCCCTGATCCTATCCAGGACAGTGTAGGCATCAATGTTCAGTTTCGTGATTGCAAATCAGGTTCTTTGGAACCCTTTTCCATTCTCTGGTTTGGAAGAGATGCTTTTGTTTCTGTCAGATCAACCAATCACAGTGCTTTAAGAGATAAGGGATTTTTAAATATCCTGGAATATCCATGCATTTATTGCTCTTCAGAACACAGCTGTAAAAAATGTTACACATGCACATTTTTTTCACCATGGAAACACTAACTCAACAAAATATGAAAGCCCCCACATAGACAAATATATTTTAACACCTCACAGTTCAGATGGGATAGATAGTATAATGTTACAAATATCCTATTTTCATTTGCTTTTAAAAGTCATTTCACTACTTGTTGAGAAGTTTTGGCATTAGATTCAGGATGCATTGCAGAATTATTTTATTTAGCTGGGTATTTGCAGGCGGAGCTGTGAATGCAGTGCAGAATGGTCATGGGTTTGGAAGGGTCTTTTTTATTAATTGGTTTGAATCAGTTCTTGGTAGGACACCACCCAAGTTAGTGGTTTCATTGGGTGGATGTCAGTATTGCTCTGGATATTTATTCACTGCTCTCTGAGATACGAAAATGTGTGTCCTGTCACAGAGAATTTTCTGAGTTGCACACAGAGCTATGAATAACTTCTCAAGGCTGATAGCTGAAGACAGGTTGGAAAATGCCTCTTAGAAACACAGAATAGCTTGGGGGTTGGAAAGGACCTTGGAGATCATCTTGTTTCAATGCCCTGAAATGGGCAGGGACACCTTCCACTGGACCAGGTTGCTCCAAGCTCTGTCCAGCCTGGCTTGGAGCACTTGCAGGGGTGGGACAGCCACAGCTTCTCTGGACAGCCTGTGCCAGTGCATCTCTACTGTCAGAGTAAAGAATTTCACCCTGATGTCTGAATGTCTAAATCATGTCCTGATGTAAATCTACCCTTGTTCATTTTAAAGCCCTTACCCTTTGTCCTGTCATTAGCTGCCCCTGTAAAACATCCCTCTCTGACTCTTTTGTAGGCCCCCTTTAGGTACTGGAAGGTGCTCTAAGGTCTCCCTGGAGCCTTCTCTCCCAGCCTGCCTCCACAGCAGAGGTGCTCCAGCCCTGTGATCATCTCTGTGCCCTCCTGTGGACCTACCCCAGCCATCTCTGAAACATGAGTGCCGAAACAGGTAACCGTAAGAATTAGTGGCAGAGTGAATCACTGAAAACACATGGTTTGATGTCTACATTTTGTGCTTCAAATCAGCATCCTAAGTGTGGGTAAAGTGCAGGTTTCCAAAGATGTTGAGTCAGTGTTGCAACGTCCTCATCTGCTCAGGAAGTATGGTGCAAGCCGAGCCAGGAATTACAGCAGGATGCAAGGAATATATTTTGTTAGTAATTTAATTTTTTTTTCTGTGTTGAGATACTGTTCTTCAATTCTAAAATAAATACCATGTTGCTGGTGCAAAAATTAAGAGGTAAAAATGGCACAAAGGAGGCTGATAACAGCATCTGTTCCAAAGATGTCTTAATGAACTGAGCAGATTCTGTGCTTGTCGCATTTGGCCTGTGACTTTTTGTACTTCACTGCAAGAGGAGTAACTTAATATATTCCTGAAGAACTTGTGTAGAAAATGCAAATACTGTGCTTCTGCACATGCTTCTGAAGATCAGGCTGAATATGCATGTTATAGCTGCAAGAAATAAATGAAGTTTCGAGAGCAATATTAAGATTTAGAGGAAGATGTTTTTCCCTGCAGTTGAATTATCTCATACTTGCCCACTGCAGGGTTTTTGAATCTTCCCTGGGAAACAAGACATATTTGATTACTCTTCTTCCCTGCATGATCATGAGGTCTTGGAGAGCAACTCCAGTGTCATCTTAGAGAGTGATGCTCTGAATTGTCAGTTGTGTCTAGGAATTACATGCTATGAATAAATGTGTGATGCATCCAAGTAGGTGATAAAAATGCATTGAAATGTATCACTTATTATTTAATTATTATTAATAATGTTCAGAGGCCTATTACGTCATTCTGGTGTACATCTAATTATAGCTTATATTCTGTGGAAAATAATTCAGTAAGCATTTAGGGCTTAATTTGGAGCAGAGGGGTATGAGCATGGACAGGGTATGTGGTACCTTTTCTGCATTCTATTTTGATAAACTATTGCATTCTTCATTGGAGTACAGATAATATATAAATCCATCTGAGCCATCAGTGCTTAATTTAAGTAATTTCCTCTTCTATCATCAACAATTTAAATAAAATAATGAAAAATAAAATTAGTGCATTACAGTATTTGTCACTAATTTGGTCTGTGCCTTTAAATGAAGTTTTGGTATTGTATGCCGGGTAGAAATATTTCTTTGATGACTTGTTAATAATGCTTTCCTTTTTCCCAGCTGGATTCTGTCCTGCAGTAGTATTAACAGCTGCAGGATGTTCCAGTGCAGAGTGTAGTGAAGGATAAAAACAGAGACAGCATTGGGAAAGTTTCAGAATAAAGGCTCAGGATGGACGAATTTCAGCTTACTTTTCCTGCTTTCTCCAGTTGCTCTCAACTCCTTTTTCTTCTAAATAGATCTGTCCTTTTGGATCTCACAGCTTGTGTTGAGTTTCTGCATTCATACATTCAAATCCTAGGTAGTGTGTGGTGCTCAAGCTGCTTGTACCAACTATGGTTTTTGAATATGTTTAGGAAGACTTTTAAGATTGTACATGACAATGTAATAAAAGGATGTTAATAGTCATGAAGGTCAGACGTTTTAAAATCTAAACAGCAGTTGTGTCTTAGCATGTTTTAAAGGCAAAACATGTTTTAGATGGCAGCTGTGGAACTGGCTTTGTGTTTTAGGAGATGCTTTACAACTGGAAAACAGTCTAGCAGTGTGCAAAGTAACTGTTGTATTCACTCATTCTGCTGGCTGACACTGTTGGGTGTTTGTTTCCCTTTAGATGCAGTTTCCACATCTGCTTACTCATCACCAGCCAAAAGCTTGGGAGACCCTGGAATAACTCCACTGTCTCCATCACACATTGTGGTAAGAAATGCACCCTTAACTTATGCTGCATGCTTACAATGCCTTCTCCTGCCTGTATAGTGGGACATAATTTCTTTAGAATTGTCATTTCCTCCGTACTGATCCCCTTTATGCTATCCATAGTATTAACTGAGATTTTGGTCACACTGGAGTTCTTGACAGAGCTCTGATTCCTTTCATTGGGCTTCTGGTTTTGCTGTTCTTCATTTGCTAAACTCATAGACTTGCACCTACATATTTTTATATCAAACACTTCTTGATCCTGAGGTTTCCCCAGGTCTGTCTCTGTCTTTATCACTGATTTGTTTGGGCAGCCCCTGAAAAGTCTTCTTCTTTTCAGAAAAAAAGAAAGATCTATATGGTACTCAACAGTAACACCCAAATTCTAAGAGAAAATAATCTGCTGTGAGAGAGAGAGAGGTAGAAACTCAAAATAGAAGTAACTGGTTTTATTTCTTAAGGAAAATAGCTGCTTCTGTAAGCTTTTTGAACCAAGACCATGTCCCTATAGGTAGTGTGTTTTAATCTCTTGTACATCATGCTAATTTTGTTGACAAACTCCTATTAAAACTCCCCCCCTTTTTTAAGATTACCTGTATGATTGTAACACAGTACATGCACAATGTATTTCATGTTATTGCAAGGGGTTGGGTTCAGAACACATTTTTATCCTTGCAGCCTATGGTGGAACACTGCCTGAGCTTTCTGATTCCAGTTCAGAATTGTGCAAAAACCCATCTTCAGGATTTCCAGTGCTCTCTCCCATAGTTTTTGGCTCTTACTCCCTTCTTTCTCTACATACTCTTGAAATTCCTCTTTTGCTTCTGTCATACTGATGACTTACATCATATTTCAGTTAGATTTGCTCCTTAAACTCTTTAAGGAAGACACTGTCCTGGTTGAAAAACTTTTATTAGGAGAATCCAAACAAATCTTTTATGATTGGAGACCAAAACTTGTTGCTCTTGTTTCTCCATTTCAAGTAGAAGGGGTGTGGAGTGATCTTGGAAAATGTAGGGATACAACAGGAATGTGCAGGAAGTGGGAGGTGTGGAATTAACAGAGATCTGTGGTGGAACACTGCCCATAGAGGGAGGCCATGTGGCAGCTGGTCTGTGAAAGGTAACATCAGTTGCTTCCAAGTGTTTCTGGGAGTCCAGGCGGAGCAGCCCTGCTGGATTTAGGGCAACAAGGCTGGTGAAGGGTCTGGAGCATATTGCCCTTGACTGTGCTTTTCAGGGATTGCAGGATTACAGGTAAAAGGCAGGGATAAAGATCCAAATTCATCATGAGCATCTGAACAGCTTCCCACATTCCAGCACAGGCAGGAGGAGTGCAGCATGGAGTGCTGGCTAAACAGGTTTTATATAAATTCTTCTTTATAATGTGTGATATAAAGCTTAGGTTTGTCTCCATTATTTCTGAATGGTAATAGTATTTCATGTTCATACTTACAATATAGTTAACTCCCAAAACCACCAAGTAGGTCCCAAATATACCACATTGATGGACAAATTCTTCAGTTGATCAGTTTAAGAAAAACAACCAAACCAGCCCCAAAACCATAAGTTTTAATAATACAGGATAAGAAGTGTTCCAAAAATGGTATGAAGGAAGCTTTGTATAGAAAATTACCTATAAAAGGCTGTAGCATTCATGTTTAGTCATGTATTGAATTTCCAATTCCATTGGAATGTGCAGCTTTCTGCTATCAACTTCAGTCACAAGGGCAAATTTAGGGAAATCCTCATTTTCACTGAAGAGATACGCAGGTCTTGCAGAGCAGAACTTGTGACAGGTTACAATGATTCTGATAAGTGATTGTGTCTGTTTTGCTTCTGCTGTTTAACAGAAGGACTCTGATGCAGACGAGGCTGTAGAACAGTTATTTCTTGTTGTTGTGGCTATTGATTTTGGCACAACATCCAGTGGCTACGCCTACAGCTTCACCAAGGAGCCAGAATGTATTCATGTAATGAGGTAAGGGCTGCAATGCAGCATTTGGTTTGTGACTCTGATAACATGGGTTGCCTGCAGTAGCCATAGATATTTCCTACAGGAGCCTGAAGTGTCTGGATTTGTCTGGCATTACCACAGTGTGCAGATTTCTCATGGTTATGACTTTGTTGCATCTTATTGTATTCTGATTTGCTTTAGTAGTCCATGGGAGCACATCCCCTTTCTTACATTGCTGAGTTTACAAGATGACAGAGTAGAAGGAGAAATCTGAGTATTCAGAATTGTTCAGGGAGCAGAGTTAATAAGTAAATCAGGATGCCCTTGTCTCAGACACTGATTTTCTAAAGGTCATGGCATCCAGGAGTCCATCCCCTGGAATCACACTGGGTATAGCTGGATGTACAACTCCTGGTTACTTGCACTGGGAGTTCCTTTGGCTGATGTAAGCTTTGTGGTATTAAATCTGAATCAAATCTATGATTATGATCCATTGATACTGGGAAATAAGGAAATAAGGAATCAAAAGGCATGAATGTGAACATGAAGGTTTGATGTGAAATCTGTCTGTGTTATATGTATGTAAAGGACAGACTTTTGATGCTGTGATGAAGTTTTTAATTTTTTAATTTCTTGATTAAATCAGCACAATACAACTCTATGCAATCAAAAATGCAAAAACTGTTATGGCAGTTACCTGAGATGTTTGTCCTACAAAGTATTGCTATAATATTTTATAGTATTTGTCAAAAAGTTATTTATAACTTAAAAACTTAATTAAAAATATTTAATTCTTATTATAGTATATTTTAAATGACTATATTGTAATGAGAGCAAGATATAGATAATTTTAGACATAAAAAGTATATGTATAAGGATATATAAGGATATGTAAGGATATATAGATATATATATATGAAAAGCTCAACCACAGATGTTCTTCTAAACAATGCTGCCATTGCAGAAGTAGGTACTGTGCTGTAATGCTGAGAACAAAAGGTCAAAAAGCCTAATTTGCTGCAGTCCAGTGTGATATACTGCATTTTTTCTAAGCAAAGGTGGTAGCTGAATGCAGCTCCGTAAATCTCAGCAGACACTATTGATTGTGCAGTCAGCCTGCATAGCTGGTTTGTGTATGGCTGCAAACTAATGCAGCTGAGGGACTTAAAGTACTGTCTAAAGGAAAGTAAATTTAGAAACGGTATTCTGCCATCCAGTTGCAAAGATAACTACCATTTTCAGGACGGACAAGTAATGCTTTCCAGGTCTTTTCTGCATCTCTTGTTTTCTGGGCAGCACAGGAAGGTGCACAAGGCTGCAGTCAAAGGACACACCCTGTGTTGCTGCCTCAGACAGCTCACGGGGTGGGCAGGCTGGAACTCATGTTTATCAGCTCCTGTTCTCTTTGGCAGCACGTAATTAATTAAAGTTCTTAAAGAAATTGGATGGAATGAGAGAAAACATCTCTGAAGCTGTATCTGAGCAAGCCTGAATTGTGTTTAGAGCAACTCTGTGTTCATGTAAACACTGGATATTTTACTGTGTGGAATCACTGCTGTTTCTGGGGAAGTCCTTGAGGTGCCTTGGACTCAGGTTTTACCTTAGGACCTGGTTTTGCTGCTGGATTCACAATGTGGATTAGATTCTCCTTCCCTGGGGAAATCCCTTCTCCTTACCAGACTTCCTGCTGTCAGTCACTGGGACATTGAAATCCAGGTGCTGATTCCAAATTTCAGCTGACATTTTGCTACTTGTGGGTCAAAACATGACATTTTCCTCCTTATGCAGCAATGGCAGCATGACCGTGATTTCAGAGCTATGTAGCTGTGATAGGAGATACTGGAATTGAAAGAAATTAAATAAATTACTTCATGTGCTCCCAACCAGAGGGGAAGAACTTTTTTTTCTTGAGGGGTTGTATTCATTTTTCCAACAGGTATTTCAAACAATGGTAAACATTTTAATACCAAGAATTATTTTAATTTTTAAAAATACATATTTCTGTCTGGGAAGCATTTTGGCAAGATGTAATTGAAATGGACTTAGAAAATAATATATTTAATATTTTTATATATATTTATATATTGATGCTCACGAAATCATGAAATTCAGTCAGAAGAATGCTTTATTTATTAAGGTAAGTCTGCAGTAGTTCAGAAGCTATTAAGGGCTGTATATAATGAGGCTTACATGTAGGATAACTTACAAATATTTCAGCAGAGTAAATGTAGCTTCCTGCCGGCACTCGAGAATGTTTACATTAAAATAAAGCATACCAGTGATGCATGGTCCTCTCTACTTCCTAACATTTTTTCCACCTTCCCTCCTTAGTGTTGATTCTTTCCAGATACTTAGATTTCTGACTGCCTTTTAACAAAGCTGCTTTTTTCTAAAAGGGTAAGATGGATTTATTTAGAAGGTCCTACTTTGGAAAGGAGAGAACACACAAGGCTTTAGCTCCAGGTTTGAGTGTAGTGCCAGCAGTGCCATGATTCTTGTTGTGTAATTAGGAGGTAAGAAAGTAATTTTTGACTGTGTGTTTATTTGCTGTGATGCCCAAACCAAAAAAAAAAAAAAGTTTATAGGCATTGACTGAACAAAGTTCTTTAAGTGTATATTTATCTTTAAATGTATGAGTGGCCTCACTCATCTGGGCATGTTTGGAGTTGGGTGTGGGTTTGTAAATGTTCAGTGAATGACTTCACTTTGATTGCAAAACATTGGTTACTGTTTTATCAGTTTTAGGTAGTACTGACAACTCTTGATAGTTGCCCCCAGCTTCTGTTACAGGTAGCTGTGGTTCAGGTTCTTTCTGCAGAGGGAGTGTGTTACAGTGAGTGCTGTTTGCAGCATAACTTGAGACTGGAGGAAAGGCATCAGAGCTGCCTGGCCATGAGCTCAGCACTTCAGTGAGCAGGGCAGTGCCAGAGCCACGTGGAAAATTTGCTGCTGTAGAACGAGTTAATAACAGCTCATTTGGAGGGAATACATGAGATCTTACACAGTTCTGAAAAACTCCTCTTGAATTATATGCACATACATGAAGTTACAGATGTTTTGGCTACTGGCTAGATAGCTGAATGGGAGTATTTCACAGATGGAGAATAAATGAAAAAATGCATGTGGCTATGAAACAAATGGCATCTGTCTTTGGAAGGAGGGAGAATGTGGTCTCTTTCAGTGCAACTTCAGGTTTTTTCCCTCTCTTTCCTGTTTGACTATAATTATTGTGAGGCACACACCTGCCTTTTTTCTGCCTGCACACTGCTGGTGGCATTCAGCTGCGTTTTGATGACCCCAGTGTTTCATTTCCTTGGCTGTGGTGCTGCAGCTCTGGATCAAATTCTCATCACTCTGCACAAGTCCCTCTTTGGTCTGTCTTAGCCAGACTGAAGTGCAAGTAAAGGCATTTCTCTAACCTTCTTGTAACCTCGTGCTTCTTTCCTCACTGACTCTCTTGCCTCTATTTTCACTTCTAGTATACAGTTAGATGTCTGTGGCTGTAAACAGGTCTATGTTGTTTATATTTCTGTTCAGATATCAGCCTGGGAACTCTCATGTCTGCATTTGAAAGAATCTACCTTGGTTCACTTTGAATAGTTTTTTAACTGTGATTCTGCACTGCAGAAATACCCCCCACATGTATTTAGAACAATTCTAGCTTGTATAGGTTTATGCTTTTGATAGGCATTTCCTTTTTCTTTTTCTTTTTATCGTTATTTCACCTATATTGGTACCATGAAGAAAACTGCAAATTAAAGCATTGCAGTCCTAGTCCTACTGGCTGAAATCCTCCTGTAACTGGAGTGAGGCCAGGGTTCCACCTGGCAAGTGTGTTGCAGCCAGGAGTTACCATTCCCATGCTTTTGCATCTGCTTCTCTCTAGAAAAACATCACACAGGAGTATTTCTGAATCTCTGATTGCAAATGGTAGAGTCATGCTTCCCCTTCTCTTTCCTTGCTGTTCTTTCTGTGGCTGAACAGCAATACAAGCTGAGGGCTTTAGAAGGTGCTGAGCAATTACCGTGTCCAGTTTCCATCAGAAACTCATCAGGAAGCAAACATCCAATTCTCCAGGTGGCTTTGAAAATTCCATCCCGCGGCATTGAACGTAAATTTGTCTTCATTTAAACTGCACCTTAAGCGTGCTTGTTCTGGAAAGAGAAAATGTGCCTGGCCATAATGAAAAACAAAGAGGCATTGTTATTAGCCACAGCCTATTTATGGCATTTCCCACCAGTGACTCAGAATGAATCATTAATGATTCCAAGCAAAAACGATATCAGTCTGTCTCCTCTCTGCTTGCAGCGGGTGTGTGGGATTTAACAATCTGCTGGAATAGCAGTGTTTTCTGTTCATGAGCTGTGAGATCCCAGCTTCTTCGCATTGGAACCATATGTTTGCTGTAACACCTACTCAAAGATTTCGGAGTTGACCAAGTGGATTTCTAGCAGCAGGTTAGAAGAAATGACCTGGGGCACAGTCCTTGCCAGCTGATCATGGCTCAGGGGCCAAGCAGCGGAACTGGGCAGATTTAGGGAAGTTTTTTCAAGTGGATGAATGTGGAAATCATTCCACTCCTCATCATACAGTTTCTGCTTTCAGGGCAGTGGAATTGTTCTCTGCACTGAAGGAAGTTCAGATGTGTTATTCTCTGCTGCTTGAGCTAAAAAGAGAGATTTTGCTCTGTTTGATGTAATTGAATGATCTGAAGGGGTCCCAGCCCTTCAGAAAATCCCATTCCTTATTACTTTACCAAGTACCAACCCCTTAGATTGCAGTTTACCGTGTCAGTTTTCTGCCTTGGTCTGGAGGTCAACTAATGTTCAATGGATTCAACTGTTTCTGAGAGTGAAATGGAAATTATTTTTTCTACATATTCTTCCTATGTCACATGAACAGCTATCACAGAGCAAGGCAGACTTTTTATGCTTCAGAATGAGGGCTTTGGCAGGAGTATGTTCTGAAAGTACGTTTTGCTATCTTTAGAAAAAGCAATTGGCGTGTAGTTTAATAATGAATGCAGTTGCCTGTGTGATCTTAACTTGGCTCCTGTTTGAGCTGTGTTATGATTATGTCTGAGAGCATAAACAGATTTTCCACTGATGCCTTTTTAAGAAAATGTTTTCTGGTAAATGTTTGTTTCTCATACAGAAAGTACTTGTATATGGTGGGGAGAGGAACAGTAATGTGAGTTTCTTCCATTCTGCCTTTTTTTTTGTGATGGAGAAGGAATGCTCACAGCTGTTTCTACAACTTTCTACTGTCTGACCTTTTTGTCCTGCCATGCCCCCTTCAGTTCCTGCTGCTGGGTGTTCCCATATTCAGTATTCTTATTTATTTCCTTATTTATTTCCTTATCCGTTCTGTGAAAGCAGCTTTGGGTTTACTGTTGCCTTAATACTTTCATGGGTATCCCCTAAAAATACCTTCACAATCTTGATGAGATAGGATAGTTTTAGTCACAGAAGTATTTAGGTGCCTTTAACATTCTTGGAGGTTGGGGAAATCTGCTTCATTTTTGACATTTTAAAACTTGTGCTGCATTTTGGGTATTTGAAACACAAAATCCATCAATTTCACATGAGTAGAAAGTGCAGTGCAGAGAGCTCAGCATCTGCAGGCATGGAGGTCTTCAGAGTTTCAGGTGTCTAGGAAATGAAGCACATGATCAGATGTTGGTTGAACTGGCTTGTCTTGTTTCAGGGAATATTCTGGGACAGAAATGGGGATTTAATCAACCTCCCCCTGATAATGTTTGATGATTTAAGCAGGTCCCTAAAAAACAGGCAAAGTATCCCTTGCAAGTAACCATTCATGAAGTCTGAATCACAATTGGAAAAGCCGTATTTGGGTTTTTATTAGTAGTGTTCTTGGATAATTACTGACTTTTTTTTCCTCTACAATATTTATTACATGTGTTGGCTTAGGTAGAAATTTTAAGTACAGAACTGTTTCCTTAATTGTGTATGGCTTGCTTCTGGGAACCTGTGTTCTTATCTGAGTGTGATGTATCCTTAAGAATTATACATAATCACAAAAATGTATTGAATTACCTGAAATGAAAATTGCACTACATTTTTTCTTACGTGGGAGTAAAACCACTTGATTTTGGTATTATAAGGTTTGAAATTACTATCTTAGGAGGAAAAAGCAATCTGTGCAATTTGCCACCGCATAACTTTTTCTCATGATACACTTGTTTTTTCCTTGCTCTAACCTTGAGCATCACTTACTGGAGCTGTTTCACTTTTTGGCCAGACGATGGGAAGGTGGAGATCCAGGTGTTTCCAACCAGAAGACCCCAACCACTATCCTCCTAACACCTGAGAGAAAGTTCCATAGCTTTGGCTATGCAGCAAGAGACTTCTACCATGACTTGGATCCCACTGAATCAAAGCACTGGTTGTATTTTGAAAAGTTTAAGATGAAGCTGCATACCACTGGTGTAAGTAACACCCAAACTCTGTTTGCTACTCAGGTTGTTTTCCTCTGAACACTACTAAATTTTTGTCAGCTGGAAGGGAAGCATCTCGACGTTTGGAGAGTAAATTAAACTAATTAAACACTTCAGTTAGCATTATGATTCCTTTTGTTTCTCGCTTCATGTGGCAGCTGTATCTTGCCAGCCTTCCTTGTAGATCTTAAAAGTTCAGTATCTGCTTTGCTTAGATCTTCATGTGCTGTCTGGGGAGTCTGCATGAGGTTGGTTTGTTCAGTAAATCTGGTCAACAGAAACGGGATGTAAGAGCCAGACTGAGCTCTAGAGCAGCCAAGCAAATCCACCCAGAATTCATTGCCAGAACTGCAAGTGCCAGTAGGGCTGTTAATTTGACATTATTCCTACTGATGGTGTTTTTGTCTTTAATCCATTTTAGAGCTTTGGGAATTAGCCATTACTTTCTGTTTTGAGGTGTTTTCTGATTTCATCTGTTAGTGGGAAACCAAAAATCTGTACTTTTAACTTGAATTAAATATCTTGCATGTGCAACTTCATTGCAGTTATTTACAGATACGTCTATTGCAATTGTTTAATATTTAGTCCATATTTCTTTCTCTGCCTGCAGTTCTTTGTAGGCATGGTAAGTGTTTAAAAACAAAGTCTAAAATAAGCAGCAAAGTGTCATGCTCCAGGAAATTCAAGTGATGAGTTAAATCCTCTTCAGAATAGTTCTGTCACTTTTTCCTAATCAGGTGAATAATGAAGAGTTCACTGTCCTCAAGCAGTGGGAATTAATTTGATGTTTGCCTTTTTCCTTTAATAACTTCCAGTTATTTTCTTTCATGTAGAATCTTACCATGGAGACAGACCTGACAGCTGCAAATGGCAAAAAAGTCAAAGCACTTGAGATATTTGCTTATGCTCTGCAATTCTTTAAGGAACAGGCATTAAAGGTGGGGTAATGCTTCCTTATCAAGATTTTCTGTATTTATAACTAGTATAAATATGAGCTCAATATTTTTAGCATTGCCAAGCTTTGACCTAAGTTGTATTTGATCTAAACAAAGCAAGGCAGGTGTAGAAACTCTGGGCAGGCTGTGGACTCTGGAGAGCTCACAATAGCCTGAAGTAATTTCCCCTTGCACAGGTCAAGCTTGATTCACTAATAGCATCCCTGTGATGCAGAGTCCTGAATAGCTTTTTACTGGCTTAGGTATTTTCTGCTGTCTTTTTAATGGAAAAAAAAAATAGGTACATTTGACAAAAAAATCTAGAAGCTTACTATTTTCCATTTCTGATTTCAAATGTTGCAGTGCTCATTTCTTGCAGTCTTCTTGGATCACAAGATTGTTTTTCTTATTCTCCAATGGAATACATGTCCCCTGTAAACAGGTTTTGAGATGCTAAATCTCATGTAAATAGCCAATTGTGAGTTAAGTAAACATTGGCTTCCAACGTGCCACTATAATGTCAGTGTGAGCAGAGCAATTCCTGGGTCAAATCAGAGTATTCATCCAAGCAAGTGTTGTTTAAAATAGCCTTGTGGTTAAGAGCTAACCTACTTTTTTGAATGGGTTTAATTTATTTTCTCTGAGATGCCAGTCTGTTCCTTATGGCTGCAGAGAAACAATCCTGCCACTACAGCTCAAATGCCTCATCTTGTCAGGGACATTTTTAGCTGTACTTTTTTGGGGTTGGTTGTGGAGTCACAAACTTGGACCTGTGTGTAGACTGGGGATATTCTCAGCAAATATGAATGTTGTATAAAATCCCATATATTTGCTGTGCTGCCTGCTCAGATCTACATCCTTTTCCTGATGTTAATAACTAAATCCCTGGCATTTGTGAGTGAATCCTGGAACTAATTAGACATGCCATGTAAGTGAGCTGTAACTTTGGACTGTGCTGTGTCTGTCTGTGGTGCCCTGTGCAGTATAAAGGTGCTACTTTTCCAGCATGGATTTTTGAACTGCAGCATAGCTAAACAAACACAACACCTTGGCTCAGCACATGCAGAAACACTTTTTTTTACATTCTAAAGGCCTGTTGTCCACCTTTCTGAACCTTTCTCTGTTTGGATGGAGATTTAGATAGGACATATGGTAATGACATTTTACTTGGAACCTTGCCCAAAACATGTCAGTATATCACCTAATTTGCAAATGCAGTACAGACTTCCCTGTTTTTTAAGGGGAGAAAAAAAAGGACAATAAAAATACTAAACTAGTCTTGAATGTTTGCTTAAAGCAAAATTTTGAAGGACCAATCAGTCATTTTTTTAGAGGGGTTAACTGTAACTTCCCCTTGTTAACTGCATTATAAAAGTTTGATTTAAAGGTAAATGGTGTATAAAGAAGTCATTGAAAAATCCAGATTGTAAAACATAAATGTTCATAAGTGATACCCCAACTATTTTTTTGTGTATTAATCAAGATGTAAGTGTGAATTCTTCAAGCTAACAGTAAATCCCACACTATGGCTAAGGATGTACATAAATGTGCTATAATATTCTGTAAATTGCTGCTTTTGCAAAAGCCAAATTTTCTACTTTATTTTGAGCAGTAAACTTTTCTCTGGGCCTCCTTGAGAAAGCTTCAACCTTAATCCCACCTTTTGGCACAGTAAAGCATTCTTGGCAGATTGGAAGTAATTCTGATTTGTAGTATGGATGTAACAGGAAAAAAATTGAAAAGAGGGTTACTGTTATCAGAGCCAGCAGAAAAGAATGTTTTCCTGTAGACACCCATCATTTTACATTCACCTCTATTTTCCTTTTTTTTTTTTTGTTTCTTTTTTAGGAGCTGAGTGACCAAGGAGGCTCAGACTTTGAAAACACTGAAGTCAGATGGGTCATTACAGTGCCTGCTATTTGGAAGCAGCCTGCAAAGCAGTTTATGAGACAAGCTGCCTACAAGGTAATATTACAGGCTGAATGTAGAAATGCCCCTTTAAAGCCCTAGTTTATAAGCTAAATGATAAATGTATTTGGGGCAGTTTAGTATAAATACAGTCTGGAAACATTGCAAGAGGAATTAACTCTACCAAGCAATAGCTGTAGGTTGTATGTATTCACCTCTTAAATGCCTTTTTCTTACTATTTACTATTATATATTGGTGTCCCTCACTGCAGACTCTGATATTTTAGTAATCTTGGACAATGTATTCCTGCTGAATCCAGTGCACATGGAACAGATGCAGTTTTGAGACCCTAGGGAAAGTTGAGTTTAAAATACTGGACACAGTTTTGTTTTGTTACTTTCTTTAGGTCATCACAGACTTTTAAAGTTAAAAAAAAAAAAAAAGGAAAAAGGAGGAAAAGAAAAGAGCCTCCTTGGTGGGACTTTTTTTCCAGTTTCCATTTTCCCACAGTAGGAATGAAAGGACTGTGAACTGGATAGTCTGGATGTAAAATTAAATTCAAATGTTATTTTTGCCAGTAAGAGTTTTGTCTGCATTTAATTCTTTCCCCCAACCGCCCCTCAGATATGTGCACTTTCCATATGCATGCCTTTATTTCAAATTCAGTTTGTGTCTCTAATACATGAGATGTACACATTCTTCTTTTCATCAGGATATTCATTTTTAGTTTGTTTTTTTTTATTTTTAATTTTTGGTCAGGGACTTGTGTAGCGCATTGGCAGCAGCTGTGCAATGCAGAGTTTGTAAAGTATCTTCTAGCACATGAGTTATTTGCAGAGTGCTTCTGGGAAGCACCCAGATTTTTCTAACTCTGTTTCTAATGTTGAGCAACGTTTTTCTTAACAGTCTGTATTGTGGGATTGCTAATGCTAGTGCCAGAAGCAAAACACTCTTAAAGTTCTGATGGAAGGACACGGTTGTAGGTAAATCTGAAACACTAGAGACCCATTCATTATCTCTGTATATTGTTGTCTGCCTGCTGTCTGTGTGCATGTGTGCTCGTGAAGTGGGAGCTGTGTAAGGAGCAGGGCAGGGTGCAGGTAGAACTCTTGGCATTTCTCATTTGTGGCACAATGGAATGTTGTTAATTAGTGTCTGTGTCTGTGGTTGTGTCTGTGGTTGTGTATTTCTATGGGCAAGCTTGACAAACAGCAAGGGCTGACAGGGCTTTTAACTTGGGGTGTGTGATCCACTGCAGGAAAACTTGAGTTTAGGGAAATAATTCATGTTAACTTGATACATGGCTGATTTTTTTCAGAGCAGTGGGGATGAAGAAACAAATGCAGAAAACAGAATTCTGAATTGCCATTCAGTCTTTCAGATTCCTATTGCTGCATCTAAATGTTCATCATGGATGGATCAGAAATTGCAGCTCTTGTTAGCTATTGGAAGATGGAAGCATCTTGAAAATGAGGGGCATCATGTAGAGAAAAGTGTGAAAAGGCAGTGGTAGAAACCTTGTAACAGGAGACACACTGAAGTACAGCCACCAGTCTGAGCTGAGAGTTAACTTGCAGAAAATATTCATGAGCTGTGGAAATCTGCTGAGCAATCCATGTCAAATGAGGTAGCTCCAAGAGAAGTGAAGTACTAAAACAGTTTCAATCACTGTTTCACAGTGTAAAGCCCAGCCTTTCTGGAATGGTTAAGTAGTTGTCTAGGCAAAGCTAATGGAATTAATAAAGTAAGAAGTGTTAGAAATCTGCTTCTGTGCTCAACACCCATCAGCTCTTGTGACCAACCTATGATCTCAGTGCACTTCTGATGTCCCCTCATCTCTGCTTTGCCTTGAACAAAACATTGCTAACCTGGATCTCCTCATCTGCCCAGGGGCTCCTGCATTGTCCCCTTCCAGCTGCTGTGCTGCTTCTCACTGAATGAGTAATCTGCTTGTTCCCTTCAGCTCCCAGCTCTTCCTCTCTCCTTCCATCCAGCCTGTCAAAATCCTGCTAACTCTGTCTGCACGACAGCTTTTCCTGTCTTTGCACACTGCTGAGCTTTCATCCAAGCTGTCAGTGATTTTGCATCTTGGTTATTGCAACATCATTTCCTTGGCTTCAGCAGCTGTAGTCTGGCCTGGTTTGTACCTCTTCAGAATACTGCCCCAAAAGAATTTTGTAGCCTTGCATTTGACAGGGAATCAGCCCACATTTGACTCCATCTGTGTCATCTCAGACATAAGCTGCATGAACATCTCTATTGCTTCCTTATTTTTCTCTTCTGAAACTCTTTTTAAAATGCTGGGTTTTTTCATGCCTACAAAAATTTGACTGTGATTAACCTTCTTACATGAGAAAACTACTCATTACTTCTTGCTGTTACTCTGCCTGCCCTATCTGTATCCATCTTTTGTGCTTTTTGTATCCTTAACAGTTTTTATAGCTTTGAATCAGGTATTTGTTTGTTCTCTCTGGGGCCTTCTGAGGGACTCAGTCTGGCAGGTTGCAGCGAGTTGCATGTCTTTAAAAATTATTTTGCTGAATCAAAATTACTTTATTCCTGAATGACAGTTCACAGATGCTTTTCCCTGTGTCTCTTGTTTAATTCCCATGTGTCCAGAGGTGGCTCTGAGGCTCTGGAACACTTGAGGTCTGGTCAGAACTGGAGAGAGCTCTGTGGCAAGAGCAGAGTGTCAGCTCTGTAGGACCCACTTAACTTTTAAGTTTCTTTTCCCAAACCATGTCTGCTGGGATTAATGTGCATTGCATCAGTGTTCACTACATCCTTAGGAATGACTTTTAGGGTTTATAATAATATTTGCCATTCTCTCCACTAGTAAAATATAAGACATCATAAATAGCATCAACTTTTTTTGTTTCTGTGTCGTTCTGCTTCACATTCTTTGGGCACAGGAAGTGCAGAGCAGAATCTGCAGGCTAGAATTCCTTGAACATGCTAATAGGAATAAAGTCCTAAAGAAGAGTGTGGAGTGTGGAAGGAATATGTGAATGCAGAAGCTGTGAGATAAGAAAGTAAAACATGGCATAACAAATGCATTCAGGGCAGGGAAAAGTAAAGGGAAGGCTGGTGCATTTTCATAAGCTTGTCCAAAATACTCTCTGGGCTTTCAAACATCAGTCAGTTGGTCTAGTCTGAGATACTGAAGGTTCTTTTCTTTTTAATATGAACTCTGGAGTTTTGAAATTGAGTTGTAGACCTCTGAAGTAGATTTATTTTCCAGTTACAAATAGCAAATAAAATCATTTGCAGGTAAGCTCAGATAAACAAAACAAGAAGCAGTCTAGATTACAGGATTAAAGCGTGTGAGCCTAAAATTCCAGAGGCTTTATTTAACCAGCTCCTGTGCTGAACATTTATTATTGTTTTCACATCAGTTTTGTCATGGAATGTCCACAATGAGAATTGTTTAACACGTTGTGTTCTGGGGTCAATGACATTACATTGATCAATATTGCTTTACTCTGGAGAAACCTTCGGAGAAAAATAAACAAACTTGGCAAGAGAGTAATGTGACAGCACAAGAAATTCCTTGCTGATAAAAACATGACATGAAGTATATTTGATTTTTAAAAGGTGGCTTGGGAGGCTTAAGCAGATTGAAATTTGTGAAGCTACTCTTATTCCCTCATAAGTCTGTTGTGTACATAAAATACATGCAACTAAAATTTATTTGTGTAGGGATAGCGTGTCAGGCTTCTGCTATAAACTGTAAGCAGCATTGGGAAGCTGGTTATTTTTCTGAAGCAGTACTTGTTAGTGAGGCAGATGAGGCAGAAGTGTGTTAATACATCAGCCATCCTGATTATTTGTAGCTTGTGGGGGTCTGTTGAGTCTCTGATTTCATTTTTGTGATATTAATATCTTTTTAATTGTGAGGATTACATTGTTTCTCGAGTGATGTTGAGGAGAATTCTGCATCTTATTGCTATGCTTAATTAGGAAATGATAGCTAATTGAGAGGTAAAGATTACAGAGTGGAAAATGGGTACTAATTGATCTCTGCTACTAATTGATCTCTGGTCACATTGGAGTTCCTCGGCCAGGTTCACATGAAGGCAGACACATCTGCTAATCCAGTTCTGTACATTTCTGTTTGTCCACTTCTGTGGCACAAGTTGGAGCATTTTGTTTTTTCTTCTGCTAAACAAGTAAAACAAGAGGTTTTCGTAGCATTCTGTGTAATTGTCAGTCTGTGCCTGTCTCTTCCAAAGTTTTGAAACACATTTCTCAGATTCTTAGAAATTGACTGAAAGTAACAGAAATATCCAGAAAATACAATCTTCATTCTGCCAGGTGGAAAGGCTGTGCTAGGTGGCATTTACCAGCCCAAAAAGAAAATGATGGTCTGAAAGGCTGTAAACTACAATCATTAGGGAGTGATAGAAACCCACAAATGTAACTCGGCATGGACAGGGTCTGAAACTAATGGGTTTGATTATAATAAATTCATAGAAAAGGTCAATAGATTGTCTAAAAGACATCTTAGATGCCAATATTCAGTTACAAAGAAAAGAAATATGAGCTGAAATTGGAACTGTAATGAAAAATATTAAGGCAAAATGAGAAAGCCCAAGGTACAGAGCAAGATGCATCTTACAGAAAATAGCAAGCAAGTATTTTTCTCAGTGCAGGTCCTTCTCAGTGAGGACCACTTGTGTCTTTTTAGTAAAATCAGCCTGAGCCGTAAGGACCCACAATGAGTCCTAAATAAAGGGCAGGAGAGAGCCTGAGACATTAGGAAGAGACTTGAACAGGAAGAGTCAGGCTTTGCTGTTGTGGTAACTGGTGCATGCCCTGGGTACAAAAAGCATTTCTCGAGTTTTATAACATTAAAAATTGAAAAGCTTATGAGAATTTAATGGCTTCATTTTTCTAATGCACGCTACTCATCAAACTTGCAAGTAATGTTCTCCTGCACCTTGGGGGATATAATGTAATGCAGCAAAAAATTCTTGGTAATGTCACTTGGAGCTAAGCTTTCAGTTACTGCCCAAATGTGATCTGTGACAAGAGTCCCTTGGGAAGGAGCTGCAGC